GGGCCCGGCGGGGGCAGGGCGGCGTGGCGAGGCTGCTACCATGGCGACCGCTTTCAACACAAGGCCTGACTCGGGCGGCTGGCCAGGTCTAGAAGCTTCTGGCTCTGCGCGAGGCTCAAGGACAGTGGGGCACGGGATGGGGGCGGACAGCGCTACGCCAGCGGGAGGGGAGCTCAGGGCACCACATTAGGGGGCGGCATATGGGTTACGCCTGGTAGCACTCGGGAGGCGCATGGCCCCCTGTGCCTCTGTTAAAATTGCAATTGCCAAATGGGATGACTCCTCATGGCCCCTCCCTGTTCCTCTCGGTCGCTACCCCTCCCTCACAGGCAGCAGTCGCCTATTGCCCATACGGGGTGGGGCTCTTCAGAGGGTGGGGCGACAGCACCTTGACAACTGCAGGGGAGCTCCTATGGACAGGAGGGCGGGGAGCAGGGCACTATGACATGGGGAGGGAGCCCAGGACAAGGTACGTGGAAGCGGGTGGGGGACGACGACTGAGGGACACAGGGCAGCACCTTGTATCGTGGGTCACAGCACCAAAATAATAGGGGCACCAAAGCATAGGGGTGGAAAGGCGTGACAGATAGTTACCTCAAAGAGAGGCCCCGGAAAGAACAGGGGCACTAAACCGTATGGCACTTTAGGGCCTCTTTCTGGGAGGAAGCACAGGACCATAGAGTTCCCTACATAGGAGCTACAGGGCTACAGCACCCAAAATGGAGCATTACCCCCACAGTTCTGGTCTACTGGGACCTTAGCACCATGGGTCACAAGGAGGACACCAAAGAAAAGTCCAGGTTTAAGGGGCCAAAGCAAAGAGTGCACTGTAAGACTGGGACAACGAAAAATAGAAGCGATTTGGAAAAATATTCTGTAGCTAGGAAATGATTGTCAATTTGGAAACAAGGAACAGAATTTGTGTAGGAAGCAGAGATGGGAAGAATTTCCCTTATTTCCATGTTCAAATTATTAATGATTTGTTTTATTCTAGCACTAGGAACTTTAGTCATAGACCAGTATCTCTGAGTGTTAGGCCATTTGCAAAGCAGACTAAAAAGACAGTCCCGGGCCCCCAGGAGTCACGGTCTCCATCAGTGATACTCAGACTGGACACTTGAGAGTGGCTCTTAAAGTGTCCTCTGTCACTCTTTGCAGCTAAGAGTAATGCATGGGGGGCAGGAAGTGTCACATGCCCTCCCCCCATGCTGTGGGAGCCAGGCAAGGGGCTCTTTTGGCTACGCTGCTCAGATGCTGCACTCTGACAGGAAGAGGAGATGCTGCTCAACATAGTGCGGCATCAGAGGGACAGAGCCCCCCTCACTCACCAGGTAATGGGAGGGAGCGTGGAGGGAGCCAGGCAGCAGGTACTCTCTCCTGAGTCCCAGGTGGCTTCCAGCCACACTGCCTGGGACGCTACCCAGTGCACTGCAGCACAGGGAGGGGAGGCATCAGAGCAACTGCACTCTTCCAGGCAGCCTCCGGCCATGTTGTCTGGGACTCTGCTTGCTGGGCAATGCAGTGTAGCAGGATAGACACTCTCCCTGCCTCAGGTAACATGGGATGGGGTACGAATGGGATTATGTGGGTCCTGGACGAGTTGTGTGTGGAAGAGTCACATTGTGTGGAGCTGGTGTCCCCTTTTGTGTTCCTTCTCTCTACTCACCTGTGTTGCAGCACATGATATAAAAACGCTATGTAATTTAAATTAACAACCAGTTTAAGTTAACCAATCAGGATGCTATGTTATTAACCAATTGTAATTGATAAAATAATACATGGTCAGTCTTCTTACGGTGACAGTAATGTACATATATTCATGTACATATGTTAATGTATATAAAACAATGAATTCATACTAGTGAGTAATGTTAATCATTAATTTGGCTCCTGAATCTCTGAGTATCACTGGTCTACATATAAAATGAGATTATGGATGAATATAGACATGGGTGGGGGGAGTAACAGGAACAGTGAGACAATACTGGCCAGCATGATAGGCTGGTCACCTGCACATTAGTAGTCAAATCATTTTCAAGTTTTATGTGGGCATCACAACAAAATTTGAAGGTGGATAATGAGGTGGCTTGGTGGAAGTTTACCGGGAGCATCTCCCAAGCAGGTAGGGAGAAAGGATGATGGTATCCGAAAATGTAGCCGAAGAACAACATAAGTTCACGCCATTGGCCAACCAGAGGCATTGTGTCAGTACTGTGAATTCTATAGGCTGTTATAAGGCTTTTGGGGTCTCTGGGATTCTGAGGTTTCGATCTATTACTTTGTGATGTACTTTTCATAATGAAAATAGTGTCTTGGATTCTAAATGTTCCCTACATACTAGTGCACACATATCTTAAGAGAAAAGTCACTATAAACAGAGTCTAGTGATACCAATGAGTACTTGTGAACAGAAAAACTTAAAACAACGATTAGTAGCACCTTAAAGACTAACAAAACATGTAGGCTATGTCTACACTGCAGGCTGCTTGCACAAGAGTGCATCCATACTACCATATGCTTTTGCGCAAGAGCTGTGCTTTTGCTCAAGAGCGTCCATGGTGGGGTGGATGCTTTCTTGCTCAAAAAAGCTCTGATGGCCATTTTAGCCATAGGGGTTTCTTGCGCAAGAAACCCCTGTTGCCGGTCCACACTGCCTTCTTGCGCAAGAGCTCTTGCACAAAAGGGCTTATTCCTCGTGGGGAGAGGAATAACACTTGCACAGGAATCCCTCTTTTCTGATGCTTTACTGGAAATGTACTTGCACAAGAACATGCTTGCAGTGTATACGCTCTGCAAGTTTTTGCGCAAAAAGCCTGCAGTGTAGCCGTAGATGGTATCATGAGCTTTCGTGGGCACAACCCACTTCTTCAGATGACTGGAGTATTAAAAGTCCATTAATGGAGTTCCAAGTCACTGTGTTGTTTCAGGCCAATTCCACAAGCCAAATACACAGGGAATGGTTAGAACTTAACTTCATTTACAAGTTTGATTCTTGTCAGAATGGAATGAACTGGCTGGCTTGCACACTACCTTCTACATCCTAACGACTTAATCAGCCAAACAACAGAGGTGCTAATTGTTCTTATCAGCCTCTTGTAACTTGAA